TAATTGAGTATGTTTCCCCAAATTAATAAATTCAACACAAAATTATTGTTACACTCCTTATAGAATGTTTTTGTGAAAATTGAAAAGTTCATTGCTAGATTCACATAGAAGAATAAAGTATCAGAATGCTTAAGATATATTAGAGAAGAAAAGTTGAGGAAGTTTGGGGAGGTAATATGTATGTGAGGTGTGTGATGCATGCTTACCCAAAACTTACTAAGGTATATAATTAAGTATGTACAGATTTTTAAGTGAATCATATTGCAACAAAGTGCTTTCTTTAGTGAGGAAGGGGCAAGTTGAGAGAAGTTTCATATAAAACTAAACTATAAACTTGTAGTAATCAGCTATCTAGACAAAGAAGAGAGAGAAAAAAAAAAATACCAGGATTCCAGCAACAGTGGCAGAGAGGCCTCAATGAACAAGGAGAACATTGGAATGAAGGAGAAAAGTGGACAAATAGCAGAAAAATAGAATAGCAGAGTTGAGGCAAAGAAAGTGGGCTATACGTTTTAATATAGATAGCCTAGATACACGCTAACAAAAAGAAACACAGGCAGAGTAGATTAGGAGGCAGGATCCATCGAGATGCTCTGAATAGGAAATATACTCAACCTGAAGGAAGGTTAATAAACTGAAAGTCAAAGATGAGAAAAATGAAGCTCTAAGTAACAGTGAACCAGAGAGAAATAGGGACAGCTCATCCAGCAGCCGCAGATAGTTGGAAAGTTATGACACTTTTGTGCAGTGTAGAACTACACAGCTAGAAGGAAGGAAAATCTTTGTGGCTTTAGTAAGTAAAAGAGTACAGCTCAAGATCAAGCTCAGGGGTAAAAAGGTTCAGCACCACTCAGACAGATAATGGGTTGCCCCCTTAATCTAAAAACTAAAGGTGTTAGTGGGACCCAAATTATACAAAGCATCCCAAGAAAGGGAAAGGTGAGGAATTGCCTAAAAAGGAAGGCAGAGGACATTCTTAATAGTGTATCAGGATTTAAAAGCCACATTAGTCTTATCGCTCTATTTAGTTTGATTTTGTTCTGGTCTGTCTACTCATACTAGATTTGAGGGCACAGACAGCTATCCCACAAGTAGCAGGATATACTATGGTAAATATCCTTAATTCCCTATTAACTTAAACTGAAGCCCTGTATTACTTACATTGTCTTACCATAACTGATCTTATTTGAAGCTGATTTGTTAAACTGCTGTTTTTCTTTGACTGGTTTTATTAGAATTTGGTATGCTTGATAATATCAAGTCTCAGAGTAGAGGCAACCACTCTGAAGATGACAAGATGTAATAATATACCCATTCTGGCTTGATTATTAACTGCTTTTTAACTCCAACAATGTCTCCAAAGTTGTGTTTTTATTAAAATAGCTATGCAATGTTATGTTAAATTATTATATGTTTGATGATGTGGACAACTCTATTGAAAATAACAAGAGAAAGCATAGTAACTGTTCTAGATCACCTAATAATGGCATTTTATATGTCTTTTTCATTTCATATTTTTCTAAGAATTTATTTTTTTGTCTTGTTATGATCTGTTTTTCCCTCTAACACAGAAAGGATAGATATACATGTAGAGATTCACACCTGGGGAGAATTTCTAAACAGTTTACAGGAACAGATTATGTAATGCACGATGTAATAAACAGATACAGTTTTTTTTTTAAAGTTTTGGTTCTTCATTAGCCCTGGGATTAATTAGCACAAGTGCTTTCTAATATGATTTGTGTGTGTTTTGAGTGAGAAGTGCTTACTAAATCCCTCTAAATTTTTAGGACTAAAAATTCCCAGTTCTCTTTTTGGCTTTGGGCTCAAAGCTGGGTTACAGAAATTCTTTCCTCATATAGAGTTTAAAAATAACAAAGGGTCTAGCAGAAACTTACTTGGAGATATTGAGGTCCTTCCTTTCTAGATCGCTCATTTCTGATATTTCTCGCTTCAGTATCTTAGTGATCTCACTGGATTCCAACCTGACTGTTCAGTGTATAATGATTGCTGGGGACAGCTGGCTATGTGTGTACGTTCTCAGGGTTCCCCCATGTTCCACTGCCTTCTCCTGCCTTGGAGACAGTGTGTTTTTATATTTCTCCTGAGTTTAAAATGTCCATGGAAAGCGGAGTAGTTTCCATAAACTATTCTACGTTGCCAAGATACAGTATATGACTTTTTAATGCTTAGATTCATAGCTTGAAATATTAAAAATACAATTATTATTGTAATATCTTAAGTTTTAAAGATTTTTTCCCATCATTTAATACAACCTAGGACCACACCTAAGCCAACCTTATAGTTTTCTTTGGTTTTTCAACCTGACACTAGCACTTTTACAGTATCTGCCAAGATTCGTGGTCCCTATTTTTAATTACTTTCCAGGGTTCCATCTGATTTTAATTGAGCAATGATTTATCCAGTTCCTTTTTCAGTACACAACTCAAATATTTATTGAGTGGAAGGATAAATGGAGAAAAGGCTCTGTCAAAGGAAACTGAACACAAAATACTCGAGCTAGCAAAGTTGGGGTTCACATAAAATTGATGGTGTGTTTTAGAATCTTCCATCAATATTCAGTCAACATGGTGGCTTCTGTAAATCCTTTACTTTCTGCTTGGCTTATGGTTCACTTATTTGCTGATTAACTCAAGTCTTGGACACAGTGTTACTTCTTCCCTGGAAGGATCCCTAAGGAACATTGTTTCCCTCTCTGTGTCTGTCTCTGTCTCTGTCTGTCTGTCTGTCTCTTTCTCTCTCTCTACTTTCTCTCTATTTTACCTTTAAAAATGTTAGTCATCATTACCTAGTATTTAGGACATGAGATTATTATGTTGCATTATGTCATCCTAAGCAACCCAAGAGAAACTTAATTTTTCTCCTTCTATTCTCCTTCTATTTCCAATACTCAGTAAAAACTCAATAATGTGTTGAGTGAATAAATGGATTCTCACAAAAATATTGCAATTTCTTTTTCATTGAACAACTTAGAAAGACTGATGATTACAAAAATAAAGTCATAGAACAAGTTGTAGACATGGATCAAACATGAAAAGAAGACAGGTGTGCTGGTTGCTGCTTCCAGAAATTGAAAAGTGGATACTCAGAAGGCTCAGCCTGGGCGTGAGGAGGAGGAAGGCGGTGGTTGTGGGTGGGCTACTTTGCTAGATGCTTCTTCAGCACATCTGATTCACTTCCTTTTGCTATTGCACTGTCTGGTTTTTGTTTCTAAATATGTGGAATATTTGATGAAGCCACAAAAATCAAAAGAAATAAAGGGAGAAAGAAAGGAAGAAAGAAAGAAAGAAAGAAAGAAAGAAAGAAAGAAAGAAAGAAAGAAAATCAAAGTCCCTCATGCCACATCCGTACAGATCAGCACCTATGTCCTCATTTTTATTACATAGCATTCATCAAATGAGAATGATTTGTTTAGGGAAAATTATTCTCTAAACAACCACTTTCTCTGTTTGTAGCTTCTGGGAAGACCAGAATTGTAAAGACAACTGAGAGGTTCAATATAACTGGAAAGCAAGGATATTAAAGTGTAATGTGTTTCACATATTCACTAAATAAACTAGCGACAGAAGAAATTCTCCTTTAAAGGTATTTGAGGAAATTACTCAAGGAGTACACTCTATGAAGACACTTTTCAAAAGTCAGTTTATAAATGCATCATCAAAATTCATGTATGGGCTCTTGCGTCAAACATTTTAAACTCTACATTTAAGGAGGATGTTTTATTTCAGCTTGTTACTGTGTAAAAGTACTGAGAAAGATAAATTTGGTGAGGTGAAATGGGTCAGCTCAACTGTAATTTAACTCACTCATGTGTTGCCTCAGCTAGAAGAGTTCTTAATGTTTTAGCCAATTTTGCAATTCAAATTGTACTAGTTTATATTACAAGAAATGTGTTCTTGTTTTCGAAAGTAAATGTCTAAAATCTATAGTCTTAGATACAATTCAGATGCCACGCTCATTTTGCAAAGTCCCTACTGGAAGTTATAGATTGAATAGGCAGAATACAAAACCAAAAAAGGGTTGCGTGATCTAGCTCTTCGTCAGGTGACACAGGCGGTGCAGCCCTCCCTCCTTTACCTGAAACAGTGGGTGAAGTTATGTCAGAGGGCCAGGTGGGGCTGTGCAGGACAGTTCCCCCTCTCCTGCTAGCTGCTGCTTTTCACGGTTGGCTGAGTGATGACAGCATGCTGGTATTGCTAAGTTTAGAGAAGCCAGAAATTCAAATTTTCATCAAAGCTTCCTGATTTTCAAATGTCAGCATTTAAGTAAAAATCTCCAACACACAGGTCACAAAACACAATAGCCTGGGCACTAAATAAAATTCAACAGATTTTGACTTTGATACTCATATGTTTGCCCACGTGGTGAAGCATCCGTCTCGCCAAGGAGACCTAAGGAGCAGTCCACTCCCCAACCAGGAGATCTTCTCATCTGTTTGTAAAAGAAAGGTCATCTTAGCATTGCTGTTGCTTTCAAGACATTTCCTGTCTCCTCTTTTCACGCCGTCTTCACTTGTTCACCAAGAACCACCTCCCAGTGCTCCTAGGTGGTGCCTGGAGGAGGCTCTTTATTTCCTGGCGCTCTGGTGCAGGAACCTGGGAAGCAGGTCATCAGTACTCGGTCCTCTACTCATTCACATTCCACATTGTCACCACCCGAAGCTTCTTGGAATCCAAGTGTCCTGGACATAAAGAGCTAACTAAATGGATTTTAAACTTTAAAAAGCTGATTTTTTAAATAAATTATATATTTATGTAAATACCTTCATCATATACACATCAAACACAATTAAAAAGCTAAACTTTACTCCGTGGAGTGGCCTTCTTGTCCTACGTGTTCTACTCTCAGACTTCCATCTCAGCCAGGCTCATTTTTCTTCATAACCGCCATCTGTCTCTCCTGCTTCCATACATGAATCGGCAGCAATGGCAGGTAAGTGATCACTGCAGATTTCCCTGATTTTGCATTGCTCTGACTAGGTACCTTCCAGCCCCACTGTGACAAGAGAAAGGATGGAGAATGGAGTGGGCACTGGGCAGTGAGCAAGCGGGCATGTGTGGATTCCTTCAGCAGAATTTTCCCACGGGCTGAAGCAGCAGAATTTCAAACTAGCAAAGCTTTGGGTCAGTGTTGCAATCCAGTTCAAGTTCCTTTGAAGTGATGTCTCCTCCTGCTTTGGGATCATCCAAAATGTAAGTATTAAATTAAAAAGCATACATGCAGCTAAGGATAAGCAGGACTTCTCAGGGCAGTATTAGGCAATTCACATTAAGGAAGAAAAATGTGTTCCTAATTGGGATAAAATCTGCCCATCTGGCCATCCCTGCAGTGGAGACAGGATTCCACCACTTAGAGTAATGTGTGCTCACCTCTGATCTTGTGCCAGATCATTTCCCTCCAGGTCCATTAGAGGGAGAGACATGAGATTCATTAAAAGCCAGCTCCCCACTCACTCCTCAATGTCTATCATTTTGGGGTCAAAGTCCCAAAGGTGTCTTTGAAATTATTTTATTGCATTTTCCAACTGGGTCAAATTCTTGAGAATAGTTTTCTGTAATTTTTTACAAAGTCAAAGTTCATTTCTAAGTGACCTGTAAGAACTGAAGATGGGTTGAGTAGGTGGTTTGTGAATAAAGTTATTCTAAAAAGCTGAACACTAATTCCCTATGAATAGGATAAGAATCAAAATTGTGAGAGGGAAGTTCTAACAATTTTATCCACTTTTCTGTTTTTTTTTCCCCCAATCAATGTTAGAGTCCAAATCTTTTAGCCTTTATTAAGCAATAATTTGTGGGAAGTTATTGGTGTACTTTTAAAGTTGAGATTAAAACGTTATTTCATAGATAGATTTTGCAGGATTAATGAAAATGTAAAATATCATGTCCTTTCACAAATGGATTAGGCTGTTTATAATCAACAAAGTTAGTAAAAGTTTTCATTTATCTTTGGGTTTCATGTACTTATAGAAATATTCCTGGTGAGGAAAGGATAGTTTTGTACTTTACATGTCTCAGCCCTTTTGCATTTTTAATTTTTGAGACAGAGTGTTATTTCACTAAATCCCTAAGGTGCCTACGTGGGGCTCAAACTTATGATCTTCCCGCCTTGGACTCTAATTGTGTTTGGATTACAGGCTTGTGCCACCACCCTCAGGTTCTAGACACATTTATTCTTTTCTCTCCTCAGATGACTTTTCATCATTTCTTTGGTCCATGGCATTGGCGCATCTGAATTTTATACATTTTCCAGTATCCTAGAAATTCTGACTTTCTTGGAAGACTCTGGTCTTTAAGTCAGATATCCAGCCTTGACCAGCCCAGAGTAGTAAGGTCATATAGATATGGGGGAGGTTGTTTTTTGTTTGTTTGTTTGTATTTCACTCATTGTAGAGTAAGAAGCAACACAGAAGTGGAATATCAAGAAATAGCCATGATGATACTGGGTAGGTGAAATAGTAAGTGGCCTCTGCACTTGGAAAGCCAGGGAAATATTTTCTTTGGGTGTTGATTTAGGGGGAAAATACAGTGTTGATTACTGTGTGGTTGTTGTTATCTAAAATGTCAGAAGCTCACTGAATAGAAGGTGTGGTTGCCAGATGACAGGGTTTTGAAAGGATGGAATCATGAAGATTCTGCTTCATTAGCAGATTAATCCACTCATGAGGAGATTACATCTGCTGGCATTGTTGGTATGTGGTGGAAATAGGGGGTGGGACCTCGCTAAAGGGAGTAGAACAAGGCATGTGATCTCAGGGACTACACTGTCGGGTCCCTAGTTTCTTCTTTTCTCTGGCTCTGCCTCTTTCTGCTTTACATCTGATAATGAAATAAGTAGTTTTGCTTTGCAACATTCTTGCACCAAGACATTCTACCTCACAGGTACACAGTAAACCTCCAGAACTGCAACCAAAAATGACTCTGTCCTTCTTTGAGCTATTTTTCTCAGGTATTTTGTCACAGTAATGGAAAGCCGAGTGATACAGTGGAAAAATATACAATGTTACTGTTATGGCCCAAGATTTAAAGAATTAAGCAAATGTAAGCAATGTCCAGTTCCTACATCCCTTAATCTGTATTATTCAGCACAGTGAAGAAGTTAGACAGAAAGTTAGAAGTTAGAAGAATTTAGACAGAAATTTAGTTTGAAATGATGCTTTGTTTAGATGAGTTTAGCGGCTAGATTATTCCAATGCAAATAAGTTTCATCAATTATATGCAATATTTAAGAAAATGAATCCTAAATGATAGGCATTAAGCATAGTGCACATGCCTTCAAGATATTTTGCATATTCTTTCAGCCAGAATAATCAACTTTTATGAGAATTTGATCTTTCTATTGTCATTTTCATTCTAAATAGCATCTTGCAGAAGCATTCAAGTGCAACAAAAGTTTATAAAAGGAGCCTCATAAATTGTAAAATAGCATTCCAGTTTCAGTTCATATAACATTTCTACCAGCCCCAAAGACTCAGCTGAGTTCTTACATTCACACTGAATTTCTGCTGTTAAGTGGAGCTCCCATAAGCTACACTTTTGGGAAGTGCATAGCATTGCCTTTCCTGTTACACTCTCTAATATGATGCCACTATAACAATCCTAACGTCCTCCAAATTGCCGAGAATAGAAGAGTTGAATGGAAGAACACTGAGAGTGCATTTTCTTCCATCCAACATACACTTCACTTATTTGGGTGAATTTTCTCTAGTAAATATCAGGACCCAGCTTTGGAGAAATGCGAATTGGTTTAAATTCTGAAAGAGCAGTTTACTAATTGCCTTGTTCTTGAACAAATAATTCTCACTCTTTGGTCACTAAAGGTCCCTAAGTCCTTGCAGATGACAACATTTTCATCTCTATACATTCCCCCCAACTCCCCTGACCAAGGCTGAAGTGTACTTTCCTTCAACAAGAAGGTAAAAGCTCGCAGGCGGCGTTGCTCTCCTCTTCCACTCCCCTTTGTCTTCTTGTGCCTTCTGATATGATGATGCAGAAAGCTCCCGTCTCCCACAAGGCCAGTCCTTCCCTTGAGTACCGGATGTTGTGTCATGGATTCTCTCCCCCAGCGTCTTCTCCAGCTTGCATCTCAGGTTCCTGCTGTCAGTTTGAACCTTTCTTAGAGACTCAAGTGTGTCCTGATGTGGTGTGAAATTCCTCCAGCCTCCACGTCCCTTCCTACTTTGCTGTAGTGCTTTGCTTTCCTACAGCTAAGCTTAACCTCATCTCAAGGCTTCCACTACATCATAACACACAGCTATAACCTGCGGCTTGGTGGAACACATCTGTGTGTTTCTTCTCATCACCATCTCACAGGAGAGAGACTCACTAAGTTCTACTCTGTGGAAAAGGTAAGAGGTATCTCAGAGAGAGGATATAAGATGTGCAGGATAGGGCATTGTGAGGGAGCTGCTGACAATGTGCTTTTTCTGTTTCCTCTGGTTTCAGGTCCTCTTCTGTTCCTATTTTTGCACTGTTGAAAGCTTGGAGCAATTTTGAGTCTAATGTTCATTACTTGGTTTGTAAGCATCGAAATCTAGCCCCAGCTTTTCCCACTCTTAGACTTCTACCCAAACTTACCTTATGCCTCCCTGAGATCCTCATTCTCTCTTTCCAAACACTTACCTTTACTTTCAAGGCTTTCATCAACCAAGATGGAGCAAACCTGGACTGTTTCTGGCTTCCTTTCCAGCATCTCTTCGCTTAATCTCGTCCTTTCCGTTCTCTGTGGTGATCTCCATTCTGTCACTCAGAATGTCCGTTTCTATTTCCCAGTGCTTATTTTGTGAGGACCATAGGGACTCCTCTGTCTTCATTATTCCCAATTCTCAAACAGCACCTGTTGTTCCCCGCAGCACCTGTCACCTCCTCGTGCTGCCCAATCACTGGCAGATCCTCCTAATATGCCTGTCTGACTTTAATATCTGCAGTAGCTTCAGTGTCCCCGTGTGTATCATGTTCTACAATCTTTAAATGTATGGTTAAGCAGCTACTAAGAATGTGGCCCTGTGGTTTTAGTTCCTAACTTTCTATTTACTGAATTTTATGATTTATGATACCCATTATATTTGTATGTTGTTATTAAGTACAATATCATAGTTCATATATGTGTGATAATCAAATCAGGATACTAAGAATTTCTGCCCAATTTTAATTTTCAAAAATGAATATCGGGGGCTGGGGGATTTAGCTCAGCAGCATAAGTGCCTGCCTTGCAAGCAGGCAGTCGTGAGTTTGTACTCATACAAACCCTTTGATCATTATATTTTTTTTGCTTTTAAAAGGCAGTAGATATTTTTACACAAAAAATGTAGAGATGGAAATTAGAATCAGGAGAAATAATGATTTGTAAATACAGATCACTACAGTCATTTATCTTTTGCGTTAGCTTTCCGATAGCTGAGGCACAACATCTGACACCCACAATTTCACAGAAGAAAGGCAGAAATTATCTCACTGTTTCGAAGAACTCCGGCCGTAGCCAGCAGGCTCCAGTGCAGGATACCATGGTGCAATGCCCTGGCAAGGCAAGGCTGCCCAGTCTGTGGGTGCTCGGTAAGCAGAGCAGACAAACAGTGCCAGAGAAGGAACGACGGACCGGACACAGAGCCACCCCGGCCACGTGCCCCTAACTCACCATCCTGCCTGGAAACATGCAACACCAAAACTGGTCAGGCTGGAGCTTCGTCTTAATAACCACATTTTCAGGAGCAAAATTGATTTGGAACTCAAATGTCAACTCTGAAGCTCAGTTAACTAATTAGTACTTTTTAAAAAAATGAGTAATGAAAATAATCACAAAAATATAATAAACATTATGCAAATGTATATTTGAAGTTTATCTAAGTCAGAACACTCATGAAAGCCAACAATATCTCAGATTTTGTTAGTATAAGCAGAATACACATGACAATATTGTTTTGTGTATAATGTTCACTTAAACAGATGTTGCTTATTTATACCATTAGTTAAATTTTTACCATTTGATATAGCAGGAAGTGGAATATTGCTTATAATATTTTTAAAAAGACAAGAACTTAAGGAAAAAGTCAAATCTTTGTGAATATACCTAAATAATTTACTAAATTCACCATGATCATTTTTCATCTCAAATATTACAACTGAGTCATCTCTGTGGCATCAAAATTGTTGTAAATCAATATTTATCTAAGAGAAAAAAAATATACTGTTGTTATGAG